GAGGAGGTCTGGGTCCTCTGGGCGGCAGGGCGTCTCCTGGGCGACAGGGGTGGGCGCCCTGGGGCGCCAGGGCCGCCCTCTGGGCGCCCTCTGGTGGGCGGCGCGCACAAGGGGGCGGGGGGGAGGGGGGGGAGGCTTCTTAGAGGGAGGCCGCCTCGTAGAAGGCGCCGGCCCTACATCTGTAGACAGCGCCCGCGCCTCGAGAGAAGCGGGGGTGCTTCTGACAAGCCTTCCCCCTTCCCCCATACCCCCGTCTGCGCGTGGCTGATCCTTGGCGTCGGGCTTGGTGCAGCGCTGGAGGAGGCGGCGCGAGTCGTGGGCGAACTCCTGAGACGCAGCCAGGACGAGGACAACATCAGGTGAGGATATATGGAGAATCTATGAGATCCGGTGGCTCTGGAAATGTCTCGGGCGCCGCGGCCTTCTCAGAGCGTTCCAGAACGCTCTGAGACGCTCTGAAACGGATTTATCCTCGTCCTAGCCCCGTCCGAACTCCTTCATGCCTTGCACGCAGTAGCCGATGGGGTTGCTCTTGTCCGTCAGGAACGGGAGGGCGGACAAACCGGCCATGGCCCTCTTGACAGGCCTCCCTCGCTGGTCGCACCGGCTGATCAAAACTTCCTGGGGGACCCAGTGGCGGCTTGGGCCAAAACTGCAACAGAGGAAAGGATGTGTGGGCAAGATGACAGCTCAGATGACCGATGGCCAGTTTGAGAGCAGCTTAGCCGGCCCTCCAGTTGAGGGAGCCTCCCCAGACATTTTTTGACATCGCACCGCGGCAGAGTCAGTCCGCACGCGCGTTTAGAAAACCGCGGAGACCCCAGACATGCGACGTCTTTATTTTGTTCAATGCGCGGTCCCCTGAAGCCCCGACCCGGCCATTCCCCAGGGCCAGTTTTTCATCCCGCGTCGTTCTTTGACGGTCCTGGGGCCTAGCGAGGGCCCCCGGAAGCCGAAACGGCCAAAAACCTCCCGTCGTGTTTTTTTGTTGTTACACTTCGCCATCCCTGGGGGGATGCGAAGTGTGAAACCGTCGCCACTTTCGAGGGCTGCTGGGGGAGCCAGCACAGTGGGGTCCCACGCAAACGCAAACGGGACCTCGCCATCCCTGGGGGGCTGCGAAGTGTGAAACGGTCACCACTTTCGAGGGCTGCTGGGGACACCCGCACAGTGGGGCCCCACGCAGACTCAAACGGGACCGATCTCGCCATCCCAGGGGGGCTGGGCTGCGAAGTGTGAAAACGGTCGCCACTTTCGAGGGCTGCTGGGGGAGCCGGCACGGTGGGACCCAACGCAAACCCAAACGGGACCTCGCCATCCCTGGGGGGCTGCGAAGTGTGAAACGGTCGCCACTTTCGAAGGCTGCGTGGGGAGCCCGCACATATGGGCCACACGCAATCCCAAACGGGACCTCGCCATCCCTGGGGGGACGGGGCTCCACGGCCCCACACCAGTGGAGAACCCAACTGCGACAGCGGGACCCAACTCCGCGTGAGCCCGACAGACCTCGGGCGAAAATTCGTCCAAGCGACATTTCACTGCCCGAATGCGTCTCAAGCAGACAGTGCTTGTCCGTCGCGGCGCGGCAGAGGCGATCCGCTCGCGCGTCGAGCAGCCCGGGCTGCGGCATTGCGAACTCTCCTGCGTGCAAGAGGAGGGGGGAGCGAGAAGAGAGCCGGCCGCAGAAGCAGTGCACTCCAGGGGCAGAATGGCCGTGGACACGGAGGCGCTCACGCCTGGCATTGGCAAGGGGAGGAGACGGAGAAGCACCAGGACGAGAGAGCGGCGACTGCGAAGTGGAGCGCCAGGGGAAGGGGGGGGCGGGAGCCAACCCCCGCGACGTGCCGTCTTGGACTCGCAGGTGGCGAAGACGGTTGGGAGCACGCGGGGCAAGACAGATCCTCCTCCTCCCCCTTTTCCCTCCTCCTCCTCCTCCTCCTCCTCTTCCTCCTCTCCTCCTGCTCCTCCTTCCCTTTCCCATCATCATCATCATCATCATCACCATCACCATCGTCATCATCATCCTCATCATCATCCTCGTCCTCATCCTCATCCTGATCCTCATCCTAATCATCCTCATCCTCATCATCCCTCTCATCATCATCTGCATCATCAACACCACCATCACCATCACCATCACCATAACCATCACCGTCACCATCACCATCGTCATCATCATCATCATCATCATCATCATCATCACCACCAACATCATCCTCATCACGATCATCATGCAAAGGGGAACATGAGGTGCCCCAACCGGGACGCCATTTCGTTCCGCACGTGACGTACATGCGGGCGAGGCGAGGCGAGGCTGCGCGAGTCCCTCCACTGGTTTGGGCCAAAACAAACGAAAATGAATCGACCCCCCGTCGCCGGCGGTTGCTGGCCGTTGCCTGCGTTGTCCCGATGGTTGTCCCGATGGTTGTCCCGATAGTTATCCCGATGGTTGTTCCCACGGCTGTCCCGATGGTTGTCCCGATGGTTGCCCCGATGGTCGCCCGACGGTTGTCCCGATGGTTGTCCCGATGGTTGTTCCGATGGTCGCCCGACGGTTGTCCCGACGGTCGCCCCGATGGTTGCTTCGATTGGTTGTTTCGACCGGTTAGGTCTACAGTGGGATCGACAGATAGATTGATAGTGAAACCGATAGACAGATAAACAGTGATACCAATGGATAGCAATACCGATCTGTACATATATATATATATATATATATATATCCATATACCTATACGACCACCCTGCGGGTGATAAGGAGGTTGGGGGGGGGGGGGGGGGGGCGGGAGGGGGGGGGGCTCATGACGACAACTGTGGTGAATGTGGTGTTGATGGCCGATGATGGTGTGGATGACGTGGCGGATTTGTTGTTTGTTCTTTCGCTTGGGCGTTTTGTGTCATTCGGTTTGTCGCTGCGCGACGCGGCACTCACCTCGCGACGATCCAGTCGACGATGCGTGCACTGGCAGGGCCTGGTGCGTGCGTCCGGACCTCGGTCTCACAATCGATGTCACTATCGATCTCACCATCGATCTCACTATCGATCCCACTATCAGACTATGGATCTCACAATCTATCTCACGATCGATCCCACTATCGATCTCACATTCGGTCTCACTATCGATCTCAATCGATATCACAATCGACGTCACAATCGATCTCACATTCGGTCTCACTATCCATCACACTATCGATGTCACTATCGATGTCACTATCGATCTCGCGATCGATCTCACTATCGATCTCACGACAGGACACCGATGGGCCACCGACGGGACAATGCGGGCTCGATCTTTCAATCGATCTCATAATCGGTATCACTAACGATCTCACAATCGATCTAACTATCGATCTCACAATCGATCTCACAACCGATCTCACTATCGATCCCACTATCGATCTCACTATCGATCCAACATTCGGTCTCACATTCGGTCTCATTATCGATCTCACTTTGGGTGTAACTTTCAATTTCACGATCGATCTCACTGTCGATCTCACTATCGATCGCACGACAGGACAACGGCGGGCGACCGACGGGACAACGCGGGCTACCGCTTGACACGCGCCGGCGGGGGAAACATTTATGTCGGCGAACCACTAGCGACAGACAGGACAACGGCGGGCAACCGACGCGGCAATGCGGGATACCACTTGACACGCGCCAGCGGGGGGAACATTGATGTTGGCGAACCACTAGGGACATGCAGGACAACGGCGGGCAACCGACGGGACAATGCGGGCCACCGCTTGACACGCGCCGGCGGGGGAAACATTTATGTCGGCGAACCACTAGCGACAGACAGGACAACGGCGGGCAACCAACGGGGCAATGCGGGCCACCGCTTGACACGCGCCGGCGGGGGAAACATTTATGTTGACGAACCACTAGCGACAGACAGGACAACGGCGGGCAACCGACGGGACAACGCGGGCCACTGCTTGACACGCGCCGGCGGGGGAAACATTTATGTCGGCGAACCACTAGCGACAGACAGGGCAACGGCGGGCAACCGACGGGGCAACGCGGGCCACCGCTTGACACGCGCCGGCGGGGGAAACATTTATGTTGGCGAGCCACTAGCGACAGCAGAATGAATTCCTCTCGCCCGCGAACGCAGCTTCGCCTCGCCCGCGCGCGCGACGCGAACGCGAAACCGAAACCGATGTCCCGGTGGGGGGCTCTCCGTTCCACTTCGATCTTACCCCCAAACCTCCGATATATATATATATATATATATATATATGTATATATATATAAAACGGTTGTCCCGACGGTTGCCCCGCTGGTTGTCACAAGTGGTCTCCCGACGCTCGTCCCGATAAAACAGATTGTGCGGATTGGGAGTTCGACAGATCTGTTAAAAGTGGGGTCGAAAGATAGTGAGACATGTATGTATATGTATATGTATGTGTAAGTGCATGTATGTATATATATATATATATATACACACGGATGGACGGATCAATATAATGGTAAGTTACCCCGTTTCCCTATACATCCCCCCATGTCGCACCATCAGGCGCGCTCCATGTTCAAAGGCCGGGTCGGGCGTTTCGCTTCAAATTGAGTTGTTGAAGATCGATTATCCCTCTCTGGATCGATGATCTTTCTCAAACTCGAACCCTTGAGCCAAAGGCTTCAAGCGCAGACTCCGTGACACACCTGCTGCTGCATTTCGGGCGTGCCCATCCGCTATCGATCTGAGACACACGACCCTGGGAAATCAACACTCCTCCTCTCGGCCGGAGCTCGGGTTGATCCGAGAGCCGGTCGAGCCACCTGTCGTGCCCGGTCTTTTCCAGGCCCCGCCAGGCGGGATGCAAAACAGTCCAGCACGGCAAGAACGTTGCCTTGCCAACCAAATTCTCGCACAAGACTCATGAGCTAGCAGCCAGGTCACAACTCCAGCTGCAACCGAATCCTCGAGCGACCAGAACCCATCCACTTCTGGTAGTGGAGCGTGGCGATCCCGGTCATCTCGATGAGAAGATAAGGCCTGCCGCTCCGCAGTGCTTATCCAGAAGAACTCCGCTCACTGGCTTCGTCGCCAGGTCGGCCAGGTTCCTGGACGTGTGAACCTTCACCACCTTCAGGTCCTTGTCCTGCACCCGCTCCTGGACCCACAGGAACCTCGTCTGGATGTGCTTGGTCCTCTGCCCAACACCCAGACGGTCGGCCAGGCTCCCGGCGGTGGTGCTGTCGCTCAGCACCCGAGCCTCCATGTTGTCGCCGAAGTCCTCGTAGATGGACCTCAGCATCAGCGCCACTGCAGCCCCCTTGACCACTGCGTAGAACTCCGCCTCACCCACGCTGAGAGAAGTGAGGCTCTGCAGGGTACTGCTGCCCTTGATGGGGTGCGACCCCACCATGGCCACCAAGCCCGTCGTCGACTTCCGGCTGATGGGGTCCCCCGCGAAGTCGCTGTCCACGTACACCTCGATCTTGTCCACCGGCGCCTGCATCCGATACCGGATCGAAGCCCTCGGTCGACCTGCTAAGTAGCGAGCGACCCTCTTAAGCGGCTGCCAGTCGAACTCCGTCGGACCAGCCATCCGCTGAGCCGCACTCTTCGCGCTCTCCACCAGGTCCAGCCGGTCCTGCGCCAGGTAGCTGAGCCTCATGCACACCGACCTGTAGCGAGTGACCTCGCTCGCGACCAGCTTCTTGCCCTTGATGCCTTCGAGGACCGTCGCGTCCTTGATCTTCTCCCTGGGCGTGTTGACGGCCTTCGTGGATTCCGCGCAGCCCGTCTCCGCCAGGATCATCTTCGCATGCCTCGGGTCGGGCTCGATCTCGAGGTATTCTCCTCTAGCATCTCGGCCTCTCCTCACGATCCTGTTCAGCAGCTGCAAGCTGTCGTTGTCGCCGTCGTCGAAGCCCACGGTGCCCATCAGCTTGCTCGGGTACTTCGACGCCAGCAGCCTGTCGACGTGGTTCAGCCCGTCGTCGTCCGAGAGCACGACGAAGTCGTCCCCATGGACAGCCATGCTGATGTCCGCCGTCGGGTTGAAGAACAGCGCCGCGTTATGCTTGCCCCTCTTGAAGCCGCCTTCACTCGAGCAACACAGCTCCACGTAGTCCAGCTGCCAAAGATGTGAGGCGTCCTGGGTGCCGTACATCGACTTCACCAGGCGGCCGAGCATCTTCTCTCCGTAGCGCTGGCGATCTTCGGCTGGGAGCCTGATGTACACCAGCCGCTGAGCCTTGCCCATGAAGTGCGCCCTGGAGATGTCATAGTGCCTCAACTTCAGGCGCTTGCCTGACTTGGACACGCCTCCCGTCATCATCTTGGACATCAAGATCTTCACGGCCTCCAGCGGCGGCATCGCCGAGAACAGCTGCGCCGCCGGTAGAGCCCTCTGGACCTTGCCATCCTTCTTCGTCTTGTACTCGCGCACGCACAGCCTGGATCTCACCTTCTGCTCGTTCGGGTCCATGGACTTGTCCGTGTCGACCCATAGAACATCCAGTGGTCGTACTCCTGCTTCTTGAGCCTCTTGTTCCGGAACGATGTCGTAGACCTTCTCGCCGTGGATCCAGTCCATCTCCTCCTGGCGCGCCGCCAAGACCTTCTCGGTCGGAAGGAAACCGCCGTTGACATCATCCCAGAAGCCTCCGCCTTTCTCGAGCATCTCCTTGTACTCGATCGGGATCTCGGGAACCGGTCCCGCGATCTCGTCAACTGCATTGAGCTCTCCATCCTTCCTCAGCTGCCTTCGCAGCGCCCTCAGCACCGCACTGACGAACTTCGGAGGGTACTTCGCCGCGAAGTGAGCCACTCCGCCCTTGAGCTCGGTGTGCCGGTGAAGCTCTCCTCCAACCAGGTTGGAGCACTTGCCATTCAGCTCATGCCAGATCTCCTCGCTGTTCGTGATGAAGCCCGTCTCCTTCCTCACGTACTCCGGGACGCCGTCACTCTCGTCCCGGTACTTCTCCGGCAGCTGAAGCCCGTACCGACACATCGGGCCCTGCGCGTAGTAGACGCCCTCTCGGGACATCAACTCCTCCATGCCTTGCTCCTTCCATGAAGTAGCTGTGGCCGGGTGTTCATGCAGGAAGTACCTTCCGGCATCGTACTGCTTGTTGTACGCCTCGATCGCGACCCGCAGCCCTTCACGTCCATCTCGAAGCCTCCGCTCCCGGACCTTCTCGTCCGTGGTCAGCCTATTCAGGTACTGCAGCTGGCTGAACGGGTCGCACCTCGGGCTCCCCGTGAGCAGCCAGGGTTCATCCTTCTCGATGATCCTGTTGAGCTCTTCCTGGTCATCCTTCCTCAGCAGATCCCAGCCGACTCCGTCACTCGGTCGGCACGTAGAGAGATCCACTGCCACGCCAGGCCTGAGCCCATGCCTCCTCGCCGCCTCCGTGAACCTCGGGGGCGAGAAGATCTCCATCACGTCCACTGCTCCCAGATCAGCTTCCTCGTCCTCTGTGCCCTTCTCGGTGAAGTCCAGCGCCTTCAACGCCGCGAGCTCCTCCTTCAGCTCGCCCAACTCCCTGAGGTCGAGGTCCCCCATCTCATCGTGCCTGTACCAGTTCAGGAGCTCCTGCATGTACCTCGAGTCCTGGCCCCTCATGGGCTCCAGCAAGTCCAGGGCCGTGATGGGTACATCCGCATCGACATGTCCAGCTCCGGAAACTCTAGGTACGGCTCCCTCAGCTGGTCCCGCGCCCGCGCCAGAACTGGCCTCAGCCCCCGACCCAGGAGCCGCCGCCGGCGCCACAGGTGCTGCCGGCCCCGCTGAGCTCGAGGAACCTCCCACCAAACGCACTCCTCTGACCTCTACGCTGGGTGACCTGCGCCGCTCCTTCGTCGCAGGCTCTCCTCCTCCTTCACCTGGGATCTTGACCCCTCTCGGGGTGGCCGATCTGGCTCTCGTACTTGGGCGCTCCCCTTGTGGGTCTCCTGCCGCCCTCTTGGCCTCAATCACCTCTTGCGGTACTCGAAGCGTCTCTCTTGGCACTCCTCGTGCTTCTTGTCTTTCTCCGGCAACGCGTCCGTCGCCTTCCTCATCAGCGCGCATCTGTTCATCTCCTCCTCCTGTCGGCGCCGGCGGCGCCGCTGGTTCCGCTGCAGCCTCTCTTGCTGGTCCTGCCGGGTGTGCTGCCACCCGCTGCCTGTAGGCTTCCATCCTCGCGCGCCCTTCCAGGCTCCTCTCCAGCAACTCTCGGATCCTCTCTCGGCACTCGTCACTGTGTGCCCTCTTCGCTTTGCCATGTATGGCGATCGACTCACATCCCGGGCAGAGAGGCGTCGCTCCATGAGCCTCGATGTCTGCCGTGAGGACGTAGAACCTCCTTGGCGCCACCTCCGGCGCCCTCTCCACCCCTGGTGGGTTTGGCAGGGGCTCTCCCTTGCCGTCCTTGTCCGCTGTCACCTTCTTCTCCAGCTTGGTCTCCTTGGCCAGCATCTCCCAGGGCGTCCCACACAGATCGCCCCAGCCAGCTCTATCCCAAGCATCTTCTAGAGCCTGCCTCGTCCAGGACTTGCCGCGAACCACTCCTTTGCCAGTCATGCACAACGTCGCACCAGTCCGATCGTGATGGCCAACGAACCTCCCCTGGGTCATCCTGCTGGCATAGCTGCTGCCTCCATCCTCTCCGATGCGTCGGAACCAGACCTTCTCACCGAACTGTGCTAGCGGCTTGCGCCACCGGCGACCAGTCCTTCGCATCTCCGCCGTCTTGCCGTCGGTCCCGATCCTCATCTTGCTAATCGCCTGCGCCGCATACCGGGGCAGCCAGCTCAGGATTGGGTGGTCGTCCTCAACTCTCTCTCCTCTCTTCAGTTCCATAGCGACACGTATCGTTCGGCACATCCTTTTGACCTCCCTCACCGCCGCCTCTACCAGACCGTTCGCTCGATGGTCTCCCTCGGGCGGTCCTTGAGGTAGGATCTCGACTCCGACGACGCTCTCCTCAATCTTCTTCTGCAGCGCCTTGGTGGCGGGCTCGTTGTCGCACTTGAGGATCAGCCTACGGTAGCCCAAGTCGCGAATCAGCCCCACCATGAACGCAACCGCGTAGGCGTTCACGCCCTTTGCCTCCACGCACGTCGCCGCCGTATGCTTGAACCTGGTCTCCCGAACCACCAGGATCGGATACGTGTCCGCGCCCTCTTGCGTCATGAAGCCGTAGTCGAAGGCCACAATCGGTACCACGTTCTCGCCGAACTCCGGATCCAACTCGAACTCTCTCCGATGTTGTGCTCCCAATCCTCGTCCTTCGCAACAAGCCTTGCACCAGGCTCGGAAAACTGCGTGAGCCTGATCCTCATGTTCCTGAACCTCCTTCGCCGACGGCATCCGGGGGTGTCGTCGACGAGGCACCTCTTGTGCTTCAGCTCCCTGTGCTTCAGCTCCTTGATCGTCCTCGCCCGTCTCCTCCTGGGCGAGACCCTCTGGCGGAATCTCACCGCCGCCCGGTACAGCCTCCGCCGCTGATGGGCCCGGGTCTCCCATCACGGCGTCCTCGAACGGACTTACGGGCGCTCTGGCGCCCTGCCCGAGCCGTTTCCCGAACTCGAGCCCCCCGTGACGACCTCCTTCTTCCTCTCGACGGTGGTAGCCGAGATCTCCCTCTGCATGTAGAAATTGTACACCTGGTCCTCCAAGTACAGAGGGATCAACTCGTCCGTGCCGTACCAGCTGACGCACCTCTCGATGGACCTGTCGATCTCGCGGCCTATGTCCGAGTCCTTCGGGATGATCCAGCCGCCGTCCGCCGTCATGTAGAAGTTCTGCCTGCCATTCGTCGCCATCTTGCCTGCAGAACACAGCACCTTGTGAACGCCGCTGAGCCTGCCCTTCAAGGATCTCCACCGGCCGTTCTCGTCATAGCCGAGGAACTCCCAAGGGCCCCCGTCTGGAATGCACTCGCCGCTTGCCGTCTTGTAGAGGCTGCCGTTGCCCGTGCTCTCCGGCCCGAACTCCAATGGGAACGAGGTCACCCCAGCTCCCGAGTCCAGGTTCATCTTGACCCACTCGTACTTGCTGTCCTCGATCGCGCCGATGTCCTTCGGCACCTCCGGCTTCCACTCCTCGAGACTGCCTAAGGTCAACGCTCCCATCGACCAAACACCTTCTCCTGACCAGCCTCCTTCGTCCCAACCTTGATCTTCCTGCCAAGGCGCCGGCGGTGGCGGCCACGCCTCTCCTCCTGCCTTAGGATCGTCATCAAGACCACTGGCGTGGGGGCGACTGTGCTGCGTGCTCTTGCTCTTGCCGCCCTTGTCGCCCTTCTTACCCTTGCTCTTGCCTTGGGCTTTGCCGTCACCCTTTCCGCCTCCTTGGCCTCCTCCTTTGGACGATGGGCTAGAGCCTCCTCCGCCCCAACCTCCTCGTCCTTTGCCTTTGGAGTCCCTGCTCTGGCCAGTCTTGCCCTTCTTGCAGTCCTTCGCGAAGTGGTTGCCTCCGCAGTTGTAGCATCCTCCCTTCGGACCTTTCTTGCCGCCCTTGAGCGAGTTGAGGCTCAGCGCCGAGGTGTCCATCGCGTCTGGGTCAGTGCTCATGTTGTCGCTCGGCTTCTTGTCCCTGATGCGAAGCCCCGTCTTGGCCTCCACGTATGTGACGACCTCGAGCCTCGCCTGATCATACGTCTGCAGCCTGTTCGCATTCATGATCAAGTGCTTCTCCAGCTCCTCAGGCACCAGCGCTTCGAACCCTGCGAGCTTCAGCTCGTCGTCCATGGCGTGGTTCACCTTCTTCTCATACCTGGAGACGTAGTTCTCCCACCGCTCGATCGACGCCTGCAGGTCGTCAATGCGGCACCTCCCTGGATTCAGGATCGTCCGAAGGAGGTTCCTCTTGCGGCCTCCCGTGGCTGGGTCAAACCTCTTCTGGAGCCGCCGCCACGCCTCGTACGGGTTCTTCTTAGAATTCTTCACGATGTTCAGCGACTCACCCTCCGTCAGCTGGATCAGCGCCGTGAACAGCTGATGCGTGATCGCCTCCAGCTGCTCGACCCTGCGCTCAGGGTCGTCCTGGAGCTCCCCGAACTCGTCCCTGACCGCGTCCAGCTCGACCTCTCCTCCTTGGTCCGCGCTCCACTCCAGAAGCCGCTCCGCCTCCGGGAACACCCCGCTGAAGAACGACTCCACCTTCTGGGACCAGTTCTGGAAATCGTCCTCCTTGTTGCTGAAGACCTTCGGCCTCCCTAGGCCCTTGGTGTCGACCAGCGTCGGTCGAGATCTGTCCGCCTGGGCCCTGGCGAGCTCCCTGATGGCGGCCACCGCGTCCGCCATGCCGCCCTGCTGGGCCGCGCCCTGTTGGACCGCCTGCAACTGCTGAGTCAGCTGCAGGACCTGCGCCTGAAGTTGCTGGATGACCTGCTCCATCTCTGCTCCCTTCTGCTAGAACTCCACGTTCCTCGTCTCTGGTGTGGGCGTGCTCGCGAGAGTGCTCGGGGCCGTGCCGATCACGCCCTTCTTCCCCTCGCAGCCCGCAGCGCGCCAGGAGGCCAGCTTCACGCTACCATGAAGATCGATTATCCCTCTCTGGATCGATGATCTTTCTCAAACTCGAACCCTTGAGCCAAAGGCTTCAAGCGCAGACTCCGTGACACACCTGCTGCTGCATTTCGGGCGTGCCCATCCGCTATCGATCTGAGACACACGACCCTGGGAAATCAACAGTTGTCCAACAACCGCGCAAACGGAGGGTTGGTTGTTTGCAACATGGGGATCTCGCCTTAGCGCCGCCTACAATCGTCTGGAAAACTGGCAACAATTACAAATCTGGATGGCTGCTTTTTCTCCACAATGGGGCTCTCGCCTTAGAGCTGCGCACGCTCGCCCTACAAAAACTCGCAACACTTGCAAGCATGGAGGGCTGGTCATTTCCGAAATCGGGATCTCGCCTTAGCGTTGCACGCATTCGTCTCACCTGCCTGGAACCACCTCAAGGATGTCGCCCCAGCGCCGCGCCCACTCGCATCAAAAGCATGCTTCAGCTACGAGGATGGAGGCCCGTTCGTTTCCAACATGTGGCTCTCGCACGAGACTTCGTCAAACCCGATGGCCCGAAGTTGCAGCATGTGCAACAGCTCCGCGGATGGAGAGCGGCGCCCGCGGGGCTCTCGGCCGAGAGCTTCGCCACGCCGGTGACCCCAGCTTCAAGTTGCGCAACCCTTGACTGGGCGGCGGGCAGATCCCTTCCACAACGGGGCCACAGCTGGGCGCCTCCTTGAACTCGGACAAGCACCCTGCCCACCTCTTCCTTTGCGCTTCCTTTACCTGCACCGATGGCGGGCAGATCCCTAGCGGCACGGGGCCCCGCCTGAGTGGCAGGCCCACCAGGCGCTCGCCATTCAAGGGGTGCTTCCCGCAGCGGAAAAGGATATCCGCAGGGGCTTCTGAGAGAGGGACTTGGGGCGGGAGGGCCCCCCCCGCGCCACCCCCCTCGCCCCGGCGCCCTCGCCCCGGGAAAACTCTCTGCTGGATTCCCAGCCCGCGATTTATCGCCCGAAACCCACCAACGCCCCCCCCCACGCCCCCCCCCTGGCCCCGGCACCCCCACCCCGGGAGAGCTCTGTTCTTCTTGGGACCTCCCACCCCGCAACCCATCCCGCAGTTTGTCGCCCGAAACTCACCGCCGTCCGGCCCCTCCCCCGCACGCCCCCCCTCGCCTCGGCATCCCCAACTCCGGGAGAGCTCTGTTCTTGGGGCCGTCCACCTCGCAATTTCTCCCCCGAAACCGACTAGCGCTTCCCCCCGCGCTTCCCTCCTCGCCCCGGCATCCTCACCCCGGGAGACCTCTGTTCTCGGGCCCCCCACCGAACAATTTCTCGCCCGAAACCCACCAACGCTCCTTCCCACGCTCCCCTCCTCGCCCCGGAATCCCCACCCCGGGAGAGCTCTGTTCTTGGGACCCCCCAGCCCGCGGTTTCCCCCCCGAAACCCACCGACGCCCCCCCCCCCCCCCCCCGCGCCCCCCTCCTGGCCCCGGCACCCCACCCCGGGAAAGTTCTCTTCTTGAGATTCCCAGCCCTCGATCCCCGCGCCCCCCCCCTGGCCCCGGCACCCCCGCCCCAGGAGAGCTCTCTTCTTGGGGCCCCCCCACTCCACGACGCGCAGTCTGTCGCCCGAAACCCACCGACGCCCCCTCCCCCATGCACTCCCCCTCGCCCCGGCACCCCCTCCCCGGGGGAGCTCTGTTCTAGGGGCCACCCACCCCGCAATTTGTCGCCCGAATCTTCGCGGAACGCCCCGGGTTGCCTATCCGTGCAATAGTCGCACGCGAACCCTTCTTGGGCGTCCTGCGCCGTCAGGGCTACCTTGATGTCAAACCTACGTCGACTTCGGTTTTTTCATTACCGACGTCCAGCTCCGCTCAGCGACGGCTTTCCTTTTGCGCTCTTCATCTCCGAAGCACTTGTTGCACCTCTGCTTCCCATCCGCCTTCTTCGTCGTCCGCTTGGCCAACCAGCTGCTGACTTCCACCTTCCCCAAAGCGCTCTTGCAAACAATGCGTTTCCAACATCCGCGCCGCAGCTTCGCGCAATCGAGGCAGCGTTTGCACTTGCGGTCTCGGTCGGCCACGCCCTCCCACATCCGCTTCGAGAAGCATCCACGCCGCTGCGCCACATCGCACACAACGCAGGCCCGCACGTCCATCTTCGCCGCAGTGCCCCGTTGCGCGGCCGAAACGTCGAAGCAACGCTCGCGCTTCCGATCTCGAGCGGCCGCGCCCTCCCACGTGAGAATCGAAAAGCACCCCCGAGGCAGCGCCGCGTCGCACACGACGCAGGCCCTCGCGCCCTTCCTCGCCGCAGTGCCCCGTTGCGCTGCCGCAGCGTCGACGCGCTGGGAACATGCAACTCACTCTTTGGACGCGCTGCCCCACGTGTGAGCGGAAAAGTCGGCCTTGCTCTTCGACTCCCCACATTTCGAGCATGCCCTCCGTTTCCCTTCCTCGGCGCGCTGTCTTTCTTCCTCTCTCATGGATTTCTTGAGCGCTTTGCACTTCCGCTCCTCCGCGTTCCTATCCTTCCTCGCAAATTCGTCCACCAAGTTCTCCTTGCTGCAGCGGGAACACGTCAGGTGCTTCTTCAGTTCCTCGCACTCTTTGCACATCCCCCCTTTGCATCGGCTGTTCCCTGCAAGCTCCCGCTGGTACGGCGCGAACGCTTCTTCGTACTTCCGAACCTCGCACACGCGGCAACTCCGTCTCTCGGGGCAGTCCACGCAGCGCCGCGTGGTCAACTTCGACGGGTGATGCTGTGACGCGTGGGAAGCCCCCTGGCCGCGGCGTGCCCGACCGCTTCTTATCTTCCAGGCACGCGCTGCACACGCGGAGCCCGTCTGCGC